GCAGACGTTTCATGACCCAACTAGGTAACATCATCGATGCAATAAGGGAGTGAGGAGGAAGAGGAGGAGGAGGAGGAGGAGGAGGAGGAGGAGGAGGAGGAAGAGGAGGAGGAGAACTGTGGGGTCCTTGGTGCTCTCTGAGCTTGGCGGTTTTCTTGCAGACATTTCATGAACCAACTAGGTGACATCATCAGTTCTAGAAGAGAATGGGGTTTGTGGAGAGGAGGAGGAGGAGGAGGAAGAGGAGGAGGAGGAGGAGGACTGTGGGGTCCTTGATGCTCTGTGAGCTTGGTTGCTTTCTTGCATACACTTCATCACCCAACTAGGAAACATCATCAGCTGGAATTGAGTGGGGTTTGATCTCCGAACTGATTATGTTACCTAGTTAGGAGGAGGAACAGGAGGAGGAGGAGGAGGAGGAGGAGGACTGTGGGGTCCTTGGTGTTCTCTGAGCTTGGTTGCTTTCTTGCACACATTTCATCACCCAACTAGGAAACATCATCAAGGACAGCACAGCTAACTAACACGGTCATAAAATGCAACATCGCACGACCATGCTCGTCCTTGATAGAAGTTCCAGAACCTCCCAGTCCCAGTTGTTCAACGAATCATTGTAGGTCATTAAGCAAGAACGTAACTTGGTTTCTCTTTGCAACCTCCAGCCAGTTTCCCCATTGACTTTGCTTGTAGGAAGGCCGAGAAAGAAGATCACTAATGAAGACGGAGGGGATTCTGTGACTGACATGCCGTAAGTATGAGGACTGGGCATAATTATCACTCTTTCAACACTGTGGTTATGTTTGAGCAGTTGCTGAATAAGAGACCACTGAGCAAGCATCAGTAGTACTGTATTTCCCCAAATATAAGACCCAACTGGAAAATAAGCCCCAGCATGATTTTTTCAGGATGCTCGTTAATATAAGCCCCACCCCCCAAAATAAGCCCCAGTTAAGATCGTCAGCCAGATGGACACATTTAGTACCATATGTCCCAGAATATAAGCCCTAACCAGAAAATAAGCCTTCATACGTCTTTTGGAGCGAAAATTAAATTATTTTCGTGGAAACACATATATGCAATCTCATTTACTTAGGAACTGTGGAGCATTCAACTACGGTCCAACTCATTAAGGACTCCAGGAGAATAATGGCTCTCTGAATCGTATTTTGCTGTACTCTGGATGTGTTTGTTTTTTTTGTTGTTGCATTCAAATGCATTTTTAATTTCGCCAATTCCCAAGGGACGCAATGCACGATGAAGGGCAGATAAATATTTTAAATAAAGAAATCCATATTCATTGGTATTTCACCGAATCAGTAAACTCTGTTGTTATTGGAATTTTTTTTCTTTTAACAGATCTGAAGGGGGGGGTTGATTTTTTTTTTTCTTAAAGCCTCAAGAAACACTGAACAGGGGTCTTCAGACTTGGCCCTTTTATGACTGGTGGACTTCAACTCCCAGAATTCCTCAGTCGGCCATTTTGATGAAACTGTGGGCTTGGATCCAGACCAGGGGTCTTCAAACTTGGCCCTTTGATGACTGGTGGACTTCAGCTCCCAGAATTCCTCAGTCGGCCATTTTGATGACACTGCGGCCTTGGATCCAGACCAGGGGTCTTCAAACTTGGGCCTTTTATGACTGGTGGACTTCAACTCCCAGAATTCCTCAGCCAGCGTGTCTGGCTAAGGAATTCTGGGAGTTGAAGTCCACCAGTCATAAAAGGGCCAAGTTTGAAGACCCCTGGTTTAGAACTAGAATAACGACAAAGGGCTTAAATTCCTCTCCTTCTTATGAGGAATCATAGGGACGTTGCGCTTGTCCTCGGTATTATTGCTGTTGAATAACCCTCATATTAATAAAAGGGTGATGGATTGACTGAATAACTCAAATCTTGGCCCTCCACTTCAAAAGCAGACATATTTCAACACTGTTTGGGGGAAAGAATTGTTTAAATGTGGTCTTGCGTTTGGTGGGTCTGTTTTCTGCAAAAGCTGCCTAGAGGTCTAAAGCTTAATTATCTCTTATGGAAAAAATAAGCTGATTTTGCTTTCCTGGTCTCACACAGAATAATGAAAGGAGAGTTGCTGAGGTAATTCCTTTCAAAAGAGAAGAGAATTTCAATGGCATTCCTTAGGGAGAGAAAGGCTAGGGCAGGGATAGGCAACCTTGGCTCTTTCATGACTCGTGGACTTCAACTCCCAGAATTCCTGAGCCAGCATGAGGGAAACTTTGGCCCCTTCATGACTTGCGGACTTCAACTCCCAGAATTCCTGAGCCAGCATGGGGGAAACTTTGGCCCCTTCATGACTGGTGGACTTCAACTCCCAGAATTCCTGAGTCAGCATGAGGGAAACTTTGGCCCCTTCATGACTCGTGGACTTCAACTCCCAGAATTCCTGAGCCAGCATGGCTCAGCTTGGAAACCTCTCCCTTTCCCCTCAGCATGGCTGGCTCAGGAATTCTGGGAGTTGAAGTCCACGAGTCATAAAAAGAGCCAAGGTTGCCTACCTCTGGGCTAGGGGCTTATACTGACTCAGTGAACAGAAGGGGAAAAAAGGAGACGTCTGGAAATCACCCTTGCTTTCCTTGAGTGGCACTCCCTGCCCTGGTTGCAGCTTCCTTGGTTTTTAGCCTTCATTAAATTCCAAGGAAAGGATGAATTCCTCCCGTTGCACCTTTTCAGAAAGGGAAACAGAAGCTGAAAGGGAGGCTGCAGGGGAAAGAATCACTAACAGGAAAGGACCTGAGCAATTATCCTCTCTGCTGATGGATGGATGGATGGATGGATGGATGGATGGAAGGGAGGGAGGGAGGATGGATGAGAGGGAGGAAGGGAGAGGAGGAAGGAAGGAAGAAAAGAAGGAAGAGAGGGAGGGAGATAGGAGGGAGGGAGGGAGGAAGGAACTCAGATGTTAGACTGAGCTAGGGAAAAGGAAGGAAGGAAGGAAGGAAAGAAAGAAAGAAAGAAAGAAGGAAAAAAAGAAAGAAAGAAAGAAAGAAAGAAAGAAAGAAAGAAAGAAAGAAAGAAAGAAAGAAAGAAAGAAAGAAAGAAGATGTTAGACTAAGCTAGGAGAAGGAAGGAAGGAAGGAAGGAAGGAAGGAAAGAAAGAAAGAAAGAAAGAAAGATGTTAGACTAAGCTAGGGAGAAGGAAGGAAGGAAGGAATGAAATAAGATGTTAGACTAAGCTAGTGAGAAGGAGGGAGGGAGGGAGGGAAGGAAGAAAGGAAGGAAGGAAAGAAATAAGATCTTAGACTAAGCTAGTGAGAAGGAGGGAGGGAGGGAAGGAAGGAAGGAAAGAAATAAGATCTTAGACTAAGCTGGGGAGAAGGAAGGAAGGAAGGAAGGAAATAAGATGTTAGACTAAGCTAGTGAGAAGGGGGGAGGGAGGGAAGGAAGGAAGGAAAGAAGGAAAAGGAAGGGAGGGAGGGAGGGATGGAAGATCTTTAGCAGAGGAAGATTACTGCAAAAATCCCTTCCTGCCATTTAGAGGCGGCCCTAATTGCTGCAGTCTAGATCGTTCCAGATCAGCCTAGAACATCATGCTCTCAAATCAATCTATACCATAAAAACAAATCACCGCTGCCACATTTCCGGAGGCAACAGAGACGCAGAGTGTTTCACAACGTCACAATTCAAACTCAGAGCAAACAAGAAAGAACGTTGCGTCCTTGGGAGTGAAGGGGAAAAAACAAAACCAACCTGTGTCCATCAGTCTTCCAAAGCTACCCAAACTCCATCTACTCTAATGCAGTTCTCAGAATTCCCCTACTCCTTGGCTTTTGTCTGAAAGAAATGATGGGAATCACAGTCCCTAAACACCTGGAAGTGACAGGTTGGGAAGGATTGTAATTCTCAGTCCGGAAGAAGGCAGAGCACGTTAACAGCTTCAGCTTACATGCCTACCTTTTCCTGATGGGTAAGGTAGTACCGAAACTTCCACACCAAGTCCTGTTCTTCGTATGTTAGTTGCTTTGTAGGTGGGTAACTCACAATGATCTAAAACAAAACCAAAGAAGAACAGTTGGTGGAACTGGGTATGTCTAGTCTAGGGGAAATAAGGACTAGGGGTGACATGATAGCAGTGTTCCAATATCTCAGGGGCTGCCCCAAGGAAGAGGGAGTCAAGCTATTCTCCAAAGCACCAGAGGGCAGGACAAGAAACAATGGACGGAAACTAATCTAGGAGAGAAGCAACCTGGAATTAAGGAGAAACTTCCTAACAGTGAGGACAATTAACCAGTGGAACAGCTTGCCTCCAGAAGTTATGGATGCTCCATCACTGGAGGCTTTTAAGAAGACACTGGAGAGTGGTATAGGGTCTCCTGCTTGAGCAAGGGAGGTTGAACTAGATGACCTCCAAGGTCACTTCCGGCTCTGTAATTCTGTATTTTTATATAAGCCTGGCAAAAATTAAATGAAGAATAATTCAGAGTGCTTTAAAGTGGAACGTACGTTAAGCTGATCCCGTGTAGCAGCATTGGGTTTAAGGTCATGATCCGAAGGACCGCTTCTTAAGCTCCTGGCAAGCTTGTGATGCTTGCTTTCCACCAAGTTCTCCTTTAAAAATAATAAAATGAAGGACAAATCAGTGTTGAAATCAATGGCAATTACCGACGTACAATATTCTCTGTTCTGAAGTGACGCAAGTTGAGGAGATACAGAGGGTTTTTTTGCGAAGGCCGCGATCAAAATTATCGTGATGCTTCAACAGTTCGGGAAAGATGTACCAGAGAGAGCGGGATGAAGGGAGGATGGAGGGAATGTTATAACTGTGTTAGAAATATTGTGCAGGGAATCCTATTTGATTTTACTTCCAGAGGAAGGAAGGAAGGAAGGAAGGAAGGAAGGAAGGAAGGAAGGAAGGAAGGAAGGAAGGAAGTTACAAATTTTATAACAGTATTAGAAATATTGTATAAGAAATCATATGTGATTTTATTTTTGGCGGGAGGGAGGGAGGAAGAAAGGAAGGAAGGAAGGTACAAATTTTATAATAGTACTAGCTGTACCCGGCCACGCGTTGCTGTGGCTCAGTCTGGTTAAATAGAAAAGAAAGAATTGGAAATTTGGAAATCGTAAATAGATCGTAAATCGGAAACATTGAAATGGAATCGTAAAATCGTAGCGTGTGTTGTTTTTACGTCCAACAAATGGCGGTTTTTCAAAAAAAACATGTTTTTACCTGTCACAGGTGTGACATCTATATAATATAGGTATATAAAAACACGCGCGTATTCGAATGCAACGTTGTGTCAAAATTTCAAAGCAATCGGTGAAGAACAGCAGTTTCCTCGGCACCTGGAGGAAACAGTCTATCTGGACCCCCTCCAGTCGGGCTTCAGGCCGGGTTACAGCACAGAAACGGCATTGGTCACGTTGGTTAATGATCTCTGGAGGGCCCGGGACAGGGGATATTCCTCTGTCCTAGTTCTTTTGGACCTCTCGGCGGCTTTTGATACTGTGGACCACGGTATCATG